TCTAGGGAAAACTAGGGAACAACCCGCCAGCAGCCCCAAAATTGCTGGAAAGGTTGCCCCGTCTGAAGCGATCCTATACTCTGTTTCATACATAGTGTGCAACGCAGTCAAAGCTAGCGCACCGGTTTGCATTGCTGACCGTGCCTACGTTCACCCCATAAGATAAGATAGTGCGTCCCCTGCAGAAAAATTTTAAAAAGTCGGAAAATGTGCCTCCTTGGGGCTAGTAACTGATATTGGCGTTATGATTTCAACGGAGCACAAATGTTTTTCAAGAAAAAGGAAAAGATAATGTAAACCACCTTAAATTGTTTTCGTGTTCATCCGTGTGGCAGCCGCTGTGGGTTTTCGGGTTGTGTGGCACTGGCTGGTTTTGAGAAAATGGCGTCTTACGCAGCAAGCTCAAGTACCTTTCCTGCTCGGATGTTTTCGAAGATTCGTTGTGCGAAAATCTTGAAAGAGTGCAAGCAGATGATCGCCAATGTGTACGGGAGTATAAGAACACATTCCCCGGAGAATTCGGTCGTGAAGTCCTGGAGACGGCCAGTAACGACACTGGAGTGTGCCCTGTACTGTCGCGAAGTGCAAGGCACAGTGCCTATCTGGCAAGGTGGCGTCCCCGAAGCAAAGACCTCGCAACAAGAAAGTTTCGAGCACGGGGACCGTCAAGCATGACGAGTTCACACAGTACGCCATTCGCCTGAAGGTGCATTGCAAGTGCTCCGAGAGGGAGATTCCTACCCTTGACAGCTATTTCAAAATAAACTGTACAGGCCACAACTATTGTCGTTAATGTTTTATTATAAATTTTGGGACAAGGCCGCTATCAGGGCGATTCCTCATTCCACGCTGCACGAAAGAAAAATATAACTCGGTGCTGGAGGCAAATAACACTTGCAAAGTGGCAGACCAGATGGTAGAAATCTGGCCTCCGGCGACTTATAAATAAAAATCAAGAAGGAGGAACTGAAATATGCACTTCGTCAATGCGCACAATCTTGCAAAAAAAGTATGTCTAAAAAAGAAAAAAAAAAAAAAACTTTGCGCGTAAAATGGGTTTGAACCACGGCCACCGAGACGTCAATATCGCCAGAGCAGCGCCTTCTACCACTCGTCCACGAAACGCGCGGAGTAACACTTTTTCTATTTTTTCATGCGCACCACTTTAGTACGTTTGACAGCGTTGCACGCTAAGTATGAAACAGAGTATAAGACACCCTATTGTCTGGTACAGAGACCATTTATAAACGCTTGGGTGTTTAAACAATGTACTACACATTTTACAAAAAGAAAAAAAAAAACATTGGGTGTTTAAACGTTGCACTACCCTTTTTTCAATAGAAAAAAGCAACAATAAAAAAAATAACACATTTCAGAAGAAAAAGTTAAGGAAACGGAATGTACCATTATGTTCAGTGAAGTTTGGTGACAAGACTCGGGACTCGAGCAGGAATGCAGTCATCCTTGGTGTGACCCCATGAGACGGTCTTGCTGCCTTTGCTGGGGTTTATCTAACTAAAGTACCTGTACGAAAAGTAGAACACATGTGCATAACACTCATTATTCACAAGAAAATTTGTCAATGTCCAAAATGACCCATGAAGAAAATTATGCGAGGAATTTTCAAGTTGCGTTGGCCGAGTCACCTCTCATGGCCAATGTTTCATAGCAACTTTAATTGTAGTGAACAGTTATAGGGTATATTACGAAAAAAGTGCAATTTGGTTTTGTAGGAAACTATAACACACAAAACGACGCTTGAATACAGTATGTTGAGGTACCTCTAAACAAACTCCAGGGTTTCATGGCGCCTCCTTCAGATACCTGATGTTGAACATGAAATATGTGCACCAAGGAGTGAGCAAACAGCGACTTGAGATTTGTCTCTAACACCAGCGACATGTCGACAAGGAGTGCAACGTGTAGAAGGTCGTCTAGAAGTGTGCCAAGATGAAAAAGCAAGATGTAACGATATCAGAATAAGATCACACCAACGAGGCACCAGTGTGGTGAGACAATCTACGATGTAGAGACAGTAATCGGGAGTCAACCGACGTACGGCCGCGATTTACTTTGCGGCGACTAAAATGAAACATGGCAAAAAAAAAAATTGAAAACAAAAAAACGCGTTTTTTTTTTGTTTTTTTTTTTACTTTATTTGTTGAGCGCAGCCGGTAGCAGAGCAGTTGGGCGGCGTCACGAAAATCTGACAGACACGCCAGCTTTTCTCAACTTCGTACGGCGCCAGTCGGCACCACAGATGAATGGTCGGCACTCTTAGTCTACCAGGGAAGAAAAAAGTACGAGCTCAGAGCCCAGCGTCGATCGCGACTTTCGTAAAGAGAACACTTCGGCGACTCGTGAGCGTTAAACAACGCGTCTTCGAACGAGCGCACGAATCCAACACGTCGAACGGTTTGCGCCGGTAAGCACGCTGGGAGCCAGGGGGCTGGAGGTTGAATATCCGAAAGAGACGAGGCGCTGGTTTCTACGTCTATTTCGCACATGAGATAACAAGCCGAGTGATAGCTAGCCGAGTGTAAACACTGACTGACGTTACATCAGAGTACACGCAGTCGAAATGACGTCTGCAACAGAGCACAGCCAGACGCTTTCAGCAGGGGACGCATGCGTTCAAATAAGCTGCGATTTCAAAACATCATGTCTCCCTTCTGTCCTTCAGTGTTCACTTTGATATGTGTATACCAAAGCACTCAATGCTGCAAGTAATAAAGTCGTCTATACGTACCTTTCGAAGCGATTGAAAGTGCGTTGGTTTCACTTGGAACCCACAAGCAAAGTGCGCGACGAACTTGACGAGCTGTTATCCGTCGGTTCCGCTATCAACGCCGTCTCGCCATAGAGTAATCTACACAAGGGAAAGAGTGGCCACTCGAGCCGTTTCGCGGCCCAGCGTTTAGTTTTCTCACCGACCGCTAAGTGGTGCCAGTGTGCCAAAGAATGAAAATATTTCGTGAGGTTTGTTATAAATAAATACTCAAGTTTTAATTTTATTATATTTAAAATTGTTGCAAGCATCATAAACGGTGAAATAGTTTTTGTTTACTACGTTAAGAAGATCACGTGATGTACGGGCCAGTTCCGGTTCCTGCAGTTGCTCTGAGAAAGCGGCTGGAGTGGCTGGAGCGGGACGGACGGACGGACGGACGCGTGCGTGGACGGCGTGACCGCATGGTGCATGACACCTGTCAACGCGTTTTGTGTTGAGCACATGTGAGCACAGCGAGCAGAATGTGAGCACAACGTGGATATTGTCTGCGCCTAACAGGTTTCTTCAGAAGGTAAGACGTTTTCTCATTTCTTTGCTATTGCTTAGTCGCGAGCAAAACACAGCGTGCGCAGACAAGGGCAAGAGAAAAAAGTGAACTGTATCGTGTCCGTTTGTTTTACCCGTTATTTGCATGCTCAGAGGTCCAACAGACGCTGCGAAATAAACCTCAGACAGCAGCCGGCTTTTCCCGTGTGTGTTATTATTGTTACATGGGCTGCGCTATCGTACTAAGAGCTACGAATATTTGTGTTTATATCTTTCATTTTTTTTTTCTTTCTCAGATGCCCTCCGGTTGCTACTACTGTAGCTACTGCTGTGTCGCATCGTGTAAAAACAACGGTAAAACGCACAAGAAACCCGGCACAAAGTTTTTCCGAATCGCACGTGACGCAAGGTAGGTTGGCGTGAGCTCCTTCTTGTCAATAGTTCCTTGGAACCATTTGCATACTTGAGCATATAAAAAAATCCCAATAATTTATTTTTCTTCACAATATAATTAATTACTACAATGCGCTTTTAAATCAAGCGCTAAAGTTGACTGGATGCCTTAACTGTAATGTGGGGATTTGGGCTAAGCGATCTCAGGTCAGTTATACTAATTTTAGTACTGCATTACCACTTTGTCTTTGAAGATAAAAACTGACAAAATAAACTTATAAGACAAAATTGTTAAGGAAAAGAAGCAGCCCTTGATTTGTCTCATACATAGCTTGAATGTATCGTTTTTAATGTGGCTCTAAATTGGGGTTATAAAGGTGCTGCTTCATGGTGGGGTGAATTTTCGTGCTTTTTTTAATGTGGCTCTAAATTTGAGTTATAAAAGCGCTGCTTCATGGTGGGGTGAATATTGCTCTCTACTGATAATGTCTTTTCCTAAAGAAATGTGAATGTGCACCTGCTGTTAACTAGCTATAAAATGACCTGTTGTTGGGCGAGTTGGTGAACGTTAGAAATCATGTTTTTTGTGCGAAAGGACAAACACAATGGTGGACAACAAGCACAAGCGCGCTTGTGCTTGTTGTACTCTCTTGTGTTCGCCCTCTCGCGCAAAAACCATGATTTCTTAGTTGACCTACTTCTGCACTACTCTAGAGCAGGAACCCAAATTTGTCTGTGTGCATTGAAACATCCAAAGCAAACCTGCCAAATAAAAATATGTCCCCATCGCTTGCAAGCGGAGCCAAAATGTCGAAGAGAGGGTTGCAGATTGGCATCTGACATTTTGTTCCAAAGTGTACATTTAACACATTGAAAAACAATATATATTACAGGTCAAAATCTTGGCTCGACTATGCCAAGAGGTATGATCTTCTTGGAAAGTCTGCTTCGCAACACTATGCCACCTATCGCGTCTGCAGTGATCACTTCACTGCAAAAGATTTTATGGACCCAGGGCAAACAACCCTAGTGCGATCGGCTGTGCCTACTGTTCGTCCTCCCATAAACTGGGCATCTGCAATAGGTGATTGTAATAATGTGTTTCCCTCATATACACACAAAGATATAAGTAACTTCTCTATGTAGGCTAATAAGCCCATTCTTCCAGGTCCCACTCAGGCAACCAGCTCATCTGGCCCTTCACTCCAGTGCAGCTCCGTCGCAGCGAGCCGTTCTGTGCTTGCTAACAGGTTATCTCGTCATGGTGCACCTTTCCAGACCAGGCAGAGCCCGACAGACTGCAGAATTCACCACTTCCATGTAGCTCTGCAGTAATGCACTCTGCAGCACTCGGTAATATAGAGGTATTTTAAAGCACCAGCCTGTGCCTAATATGCGCACTCTTCCAGACCCAAGTCAGGCAACCAGCTCTTCTGGTCTTTTCGCTGGCCACTGTGGTCCAGGTCAACACTGTAAGTGTCCCATTTTGCTTTCGCCACTTTTTAAAACATATTTGTGTGAACCTCTATAGCCAGTGGATAATACAATCTGTCCTAGAAGGATCAGTTTAAAGAATTCTAGGTCTCTTTATAAGCTACTAGTCTTTGCTTCATGTGTGTGGCATACCGATCTAACCATTTTTATTACTAATGACTGGGGAGGTGTGGGAAACTGGAACACACATATCAAGAGGAGGTTTCAAGAGAATTCTTCATGGCTGTTTTGCGTTTTTCATGCTATCTCAGCCTTTCGAACTTGCAAGGTTATCAAGGATTTTGCGTGAAGACATTTAGTACCGAACATTTTACATGACTAGTAAAAGAATAACGTAATTGGTGGTCAGAAGTTTCACTGGCTTTGTCAATGCTTAAATGGTAAAGCACAAGAAGAAAATTCAAGCTTCACTCCACACCTTACCTGGTATGCTACTGGTTAGTGGTGCTTCTACTGGTTAAATCGTATCGCACTTGTTGCAACTGTTTTCAATCTCACTGACTTGTTGCCATTTTTATAGCTGGTCCAAACCATCCTGCACCTGTTTTCCGCAAGCTCACGAAAAGGCCCGAGGACGTTATCAAGCGACTCCAGGCGAGAATTTCCAGCTACAGAAAGGCGATAGCCAGACTGCGGAAACAGCAGCTGAAGACGCCTCAGACAGCTTCTCAAGCTCTGGAAATAATTCGGCCTCATGTTTCTGAAGAGGTATTTCACCTCATATCATCGCATGTAAAGAATAGGTCGAAGGGCAAGGGGAAGCGATTTTTACTGTGGCTGAAGAAATTTGCGCTCCATCTGAATTTGCATGAACCGCGGGCATACCGATTTGTGTCTTCAGTGTTCACGCTACCATCTCGGCGTTCACTACGAAGGTGGCTAGCCAATGTCAAAATGACGCCAGGTATCATTCCAGGCATCATGTCATCGATTGTGTCAAAAACAAAGTCATGAAATGAACGCGACCGCATTTGTACCTTAGTTTTTGACGAGATGATGTTGAAAAAGAACTTGTCATACGATGTGGCGCAGGATGTTGTCCTCGGATTTGCAGATGATGGTGTTGAGCGAACTTCCAGTATTGATGACAGAGCCCAGGTTTTCCTCCTCTCTGGAGTTTCTCGGAGGTGGGTGCAACCTGTAGCATATACTATTGGGCATACGTCAACACCATCCTGTGTAACTCGTAACCTGCTTATGCCACTGATTGAGCAGCTGAAGGACATTGGCATTACAATCAAAGCAGTGGTCTGTGACCAGGGTGTCTCCAACGTAAGTTTGGCGCACCAACTTGGAGTGTCTGTTGAGCAGCCATTCTTCAAAGTAAAAAATGCAAGTGTCTATTTTATTTTTGATGTCCCGCACCTGATAAAGATCACCCGTAACAACCTGCAAGCTTACAAGCTTCACATCGGGAGTGAAAATGTAGACTGGAACTACATTGTGCAACTTTAGCACTCCACGCACGAGATGCGACTACAATTAGCCCCGAAGCTGACAGACCGGCATATTTACCAGAAACCTTTCAGTAACATGAAGGCGAAACGTGCGACTCAGGTCCTCAGTTCATCAGTATGCGTTGCACTTTTAGCTCTTGTGTATGCCAGACAGCTCCCCGAGGCGGCCATTTCCACGGCATACTTTTGTGACCGCATGGACAAACGTTTTGACTGTCTTAACAGCTCGAGACAAAAAGAATCTGAACAAAAGTCACGCTATGCAATTAGAAAGGGCGACACTGAAATCGTTGATTTCCTTTGCAACCAACTTCCATGGGTGGCAGCCTGGAAGTTTGAGGGTAGACGGCAGCCACAAACAGTCACTGGGTGGCAGGTTACTATCAGGGCCGTCCTCATGCTCTGGGAGGATATTTCTGAGAAATATAACTTCAGCTTTCTTTTGACACGGCGACTGCAGCAAGATGCCGAAAATATTTTCGGGCAGATGAGGCAACAACACGGCTGCAACACCAATCCTAATGTGTATCAGTTTACTCGTGGACTGAAGCACATTGGGATTAGGAAGCTCCTAAAGCTCTCGAAAAAGGAAAATGTTGAAGATGGCAACACTAACCTCCTTCAGGAGATGACCCCGTTTTCACTAGAGACAACCTCAATCGCTGATGCCGTGGAATGTGCCCCCGTGGACGACTTCCCTCCATTGGACGATATTTCGGAACTCGCATCAAGTAAAGACTCTAACATAATAGACGACTCTGCCACCTATTATGTTGCAGGATTTCTAATCAAGCTGTTCCTGGAAAAAAGTTCACAGGGTTGTCTCTGTTCTGGGTCACTGAGGAAAGGGTCTGTCAACTTGAACTGGCCCCACCAGAATTTTACAATGCTTAAAGCCTTCCATATTCCAAGAAAGATGTTCGGCAACTTAACTGTGCCATCGGAGGCTACTTTCACTTACATTCAGAGCCTGGAATCTCACTTTATGTGTGTTATAGAAAGCGTAGCACACCTGCGCAATGTCTGTGATGTTTTGTATCACCATCTGGTCGCGTATTGGTTTTTTTGCATTTATGCTCCGAGGAGTGTCAGCGGAGGTTTTTGAAGATGTTTTGCAGGGTGCGGTTGTGCTGGCATGTGCGCTTTATTAATCGAAACTTGGAAAAAGTTTGGTTGCATTCTTCTGTTCCTGGCGCTCAACTCGACAAGTTCAAAGCTTAGTATGGTATGGTGTTTCAGGCGCCTATAAAAGAACGATCTTTAATTGGGTTGTGCAGTTTGCATGCCGATTATATTTCTGGCTTCCTTTCAACTTTATAATGCAGGACAGTTTTTTTACATACGGGATGAGGACGTTTCGTAGCAAAGTGATCTTTGATGGGTGCGTGCGTGGAGTATATGCCGAACATGTCCGACATGTTAATGTTTTAATCAATGTGCCCTGTATATTGACCAAATGTTGTGTCTGTTACTGTTACTTTGGTAACAGAATTTTTGTATATTTAGAAAAAAATCTGTTACTTTGGTAACAGATTTTTTGTATATTTTTATTACCTAACACTGTTAGGTGGTTTGACCTTAGCTGCCTGTTCTTGCTGTAATTTTCCACATGCCCTGTACTAGCATTGCTATATTTTCTGCTGTACACTCATTGTGTTGAATATGGATGGGAATGTTGAATATTCCCTGGGTCTGTATGAGGTCCTTTTTGTTAGCCTACAAGAAGTGTTAGGCTACTCCAAATAGTGTACTGTATATTGACATTGAATCTGCTTCTTTGAATTCTGTGCAGTCTAGGCTGTGCTCTAATAGCGTAAACGAATTAATCTTCGCGTCGACCTAACTTTCGCAAATATCGCGATTTGATCAAGTTCACAAGAAATTGGTAACGTGAATAAGTTGCCCTATGGATATGAACACATGCAATGTAACTCACGGTGGTGAAAGTTTATGCCCGCGAAATATTCCCGAAACTGGCACATCGCTAAATGTCGAGCTCGCAACAATAAGTCGCTTACAGTACTTGTTAATGACAGCTATGGCCACATGTCCACATTACTGAAACTGCTCAGCATTGTGACAACCAATGATTAATTCAATCAAACCGTTTAGCATCACTGGAAAGTTCTGGTTTGGAGTGTTAAAAAATGTGGGACTCTTGTAACGTTACTTCTTTATATGGATGTGTGTGCCCTCATGAAGAATACTTCGCGATTCTGAATTGTTCAAGCGTTCAAGTCTGTTTATGATTGACCTCAAAATAAATCATTCTGAAGCACTTTTTGTTGTTGCCTGAAAATACTTCGTAAACACGTAAACAAACGGAAGCAGTATGACAAGAATAGATATCTTAATATTTCACGGTAGTAAAGACAATAATTTCTGCTCTTTCGTGGTGTGAAGCCTCTAATCAGAAGCATTTGTGCCATCAAGAGAAGCCGCGCGACAGCAAGCTCGGCAAAAAAAGCGCCGGAAACGAAACCGAAACTGAAACCACCGGAACCGGAATCAAGAGTAAGCTTTTCTCATCGACCGTTTGGCGCGCTAGTTATACGGGACGCTGGGGCCTACGGCAGTGTCCGCTCTTTACCTTGTGTAGATTACTCTATGGTCTCGCCGGGTTCGCGCGGTCGCGGTCGTTGCGCAATGGCGGCGCAATCTCGGCGGCTCGCTCAGCCGTTCGTCTGGCAGCGCATGCGCGCAGGCGCGCCGGGCTCGCCTCCCTTCGGAGTTCGAACTGCCTCCGAAGCTCGAGCGCTCGAGCTTTCGCGCGCGCGGGTTGACGATGGAAACTTTTCTCATAAAACGAGTCTGTAACGTATCGTTTGATGGCGGAAATGCACGTATTTTTCCCGTCGTTTTTTACAGTGTGTGAATCTTGCGAAACAGGCGACGAAGGGTGGTGGGTGAAATGTGCTCGCGTGTGGTTGTGGATTTTGTGTACGACGTAGGATTACCCAGAAAGGTGGGTCAATATCGATAAATGTGCGGGTAAGAAGCACGTGACCTGTCAAGCCCATTAATCCTCATTATTTTATCGTGCGAACTGACATTGTCACGTATCGCGTTCGATTTGGGTTCCAACATCGGTAACCTAACTTTTGTTGCATTAAAACTGCAATAAACATTTGTTTGAAAACGATCACTCCAATGAGCACGTCGTTATTGGGCTTTCTCATTGAAAGGTAGGTCGCGGGTGTCCCAGCTAGTTATTCTGAATGGTTTGGTGGTTGTCTAGCATTTCAAGCGCTCGAGGCTGTGTGTACTGTGTGCCGTACGTACTTACACTTGCGCTTTCGATCAATGTGAATGTGTTTGCAACGCGGAACGAGAGAAAACGATATATCGTTTTCTCTCGTATTGCCGTATGGTAACTCCTGCTGTTCTACAATATCATTCACGCTATGTCGTATTGTGGGCGTACCGATATCCACATGTTGCTTCACGGGCGATCAATACGGTGTTACGTATCCTCTTAGTCCGCGGTATATGCCGACGTAATTCATGTTGGTAACTTGGAATTCGTTCTGAGATTTATCCACGCGATATTGTATTCTCCTTTGGGCCCGTGATCGACGACCGATATTTATATATCGTGTGGCCGCACAGTATGTCCATGTCGGTCACCAATATGCACGCGGTGTCGTATTCTATTCCAATAACCGTAAGTCCTGTCGGGATATTGTGCTTCGATATCGTGTTGTATACCAATAACCGCTAGTTATATCGGGATATTGTGCTCCAATATCCTGTTGTATACCAATAACCGCATACAATATCGGGATATTGTGCTCCGATATGAATTCCCATCGTGCGTATTGGGTTAATCGGATAACAATAAGTTTTTATTGGTTTCCATCAACTTCATTGGAATACAATATTTCCAATAAGCCGAGTTCATATTGGCCTTTTTCAATAGGGTGGCTTCACTATTCCTGCTTCGCACCTAACTAGAGTATCTGGAATGCTCACCTTTGAGGAAAAACGAACTGGTGCTTGCTTGCTTGTAGGCCGTGGAAACTGGAAGAGAGATTTGCGGTTAGTTGCGTCCAAGTAGCAGTTTGAGTAGCCACGTAAAGTACACTAAGTCTGAAAGATCCAAAATTACATGCGCGGGACATAGATATCCTCTTGCGACGTAACTGGGCACATGTCAATGTCGCCCGCGTGTATTACAGAAAAATAAGCTGCAATGCAGGAGCCCCCAGTCGTTCCGAGCTCCGTCAATTAAAAATGCTGTACCAGTCGTCTGGCTTCAGTATTCCTGCTTCGGGAATCTGGAATTCTCACCTTTGAGGAAAAGTAAACTGGGACC